CTCAACCCAAAATGAATCTCTACTTTACTGAGAAAGTTTTATCCCAAATACAACATTCGTTACAATGTTTATTCTGTTCCTCCTACCGTTGTGCCCCGCCTCTATTCTAGATGTCAACTTGTACACATAACAACATCATACTTTTCCAGGGATGGGAATAAAAATAACAAACTGTAGATATGAATAGTCTGAATAAGTTGTTTTTATATAAATTTATGTATGAACGGATGGACAACGGTAATGACCAGGTAACACTACAGTATTTGTGGCTCCGGCATATTTCTTTAAAACTGACCCCGACCCCGACCCCGGCCCCGGCCCCGACCACGCCCTCGTCCCCTTCCCCTTCCACGATTAGGTGAAGCAGATTCAGTCATTGATCCTCGTAGCCTTGATTCAGGGTCTGGTCTACTGTTTCTTGTGAAAATTCTCTGTTTCACAGAGAGGATATTCTTAGCATCCAGAGTCACAGTATCCTCTGGCATGTTGGAACTTTACACAGGGCCTGTCTCTGATCAGATGCTTTTTGTTGCCCTGGTAGAAAAGATAACTGCTTTGGGCCTTTGGACGGAGAGGGGAAAACCACATTATTTAATTTTCCATTTTTGCTTCATCGTGTGACGATTGAATCCCTCTTACTTTCAACCATAGAGGATTCATAAGGTACGAGAGGGTCAGAATTTCCAGAGAAATGGACCTCTGGCCCTTTTCTTATCAGAACAAAACATTCTGTTTCAGATTCATCAGTAGACATTTTCACCAATGTGTTTAGGACACTGTCCACACCTACTGCTTTGGCAACAGTGTGTTAAAAACTATCTCATTATTGTTTAATTATTGATATATTTTGTTAAGGGTCTCATTCAAGATAATTGTCATTGACACAAGACTTCTGTAGCCTTCATGAGTGATTCAAATATGGACGTAAAACAATGAATGTACAATAGTCTTCATAGAAAATACTATCCTTCCATGACATCTTCCAAATCTGCTAAGTAGTCCAATAGATTCACTATAATCAAATACAGCAAAACATGTGATATAAATATATATAGTACGAAAATAAAAGTGCTCAATTTTTTAATGACACTAGATACTAATTGAGTTCTATTTCATAATGACCATCATTTACCTTGAGAAATATTACAAATTTATTTCCCATTTTTAAATGCCTAAGTGTCAATATTGACCAAGATTAGACTTGGAGAGAAAGATACATTTCACAACATCCCTGGTAAACTCAATTTGCAGTTTCACAATGAGGCCAAGAAGAAACACAGGTATTTGAACATAATTTCTTTAGACCATCTTTACAAAACATAAAAGACGTAACATTTACCTGAATCTATTGGCTGTTCAATGACTAATGACTGAATGTTCTTGGAGTGCTGGTGATTCCTGCAAGTTGTAACACAGAGTATGTCTGATGGCACACCTTGTGTCAGCCAAGATTTCACTTTTTGTTTTCTTCCTCTGGGATAAAATCATATCCTTGTCCTTTACTTGGATGGACACGTTTAGACATTGAGGCATGCATTGGAACAAACTGCTTTACTTTCTGTGGCATAACCTCCTGGACAAACTGGTCATAAATATGTATCTCTTGGTACTTCGGATGACAACGTCCATGTTACAATTAATTTGTCATTAACTTTGCCGACTGTAACAGGAGCCAGTTATTCCTACGGACAGCCATCCTGAAATTCACAATTCCTTGGCTGTACTTGCAAACCATTTCAAACAAGTACAGAAAGTTGTCATTGTTTTCTTTGTCCTTGACAAAGGAAAAGAATCCTTCCGCCGAAGGTTTCATGCTAGAAATCATGCAGTGAGTAACATGTGGTTAAATAAGTTCACACATACTACCAATATGGAATGTCAGTAGCATTTGCCATGCTTTGTGATTGTCTGAGCAATGAAATGCAGATTTCAAGGCTGCTTCTGATGTCCAACCCATGGTTTCAGCAAAGCTTTTCATGAAGATATCCCAGTTAAGTTCCATGAAACTTTTCATTTAATTCATTTCATAATGACCAATGCAGATGGCAAACGGTTTTGGACAGCAGTATGCTGTGATGGACTTCCACATGGACTAGTCAGAAGAGTGATGGAAGAGTACTTGAGATGCTCCATTTGTGGCGAAGGGTTTATGGGTGTCCAGGAATCTCAGAGACATGGAGAAAAGTCTCATGCTAATGAAGATGCTACTTTTTATCATGAGTTTAACTGAGTACTGTTACTCACGGGGGCTGTATCTGATAATTCCAGCCTTCTGTCCGATAGGTCGCAATGCAAGAGTAATGTTGTGTACTGAATTTGGGTTAACAAAAACAGGATCATGGAGAATAACGTCAACTGGATCTGGGCCATGACTGGTTTCAATATGGTCATACTGATATGATGATTCAGCTGACTGTTTCACTTTCTTAGTTTTGGTGTCATCTCCTTTGTGTACATGCATCTGGTTTGTTTGTGCATATGTTGGTTCATCAGTTCCATTTCTTTCCATGGTTTGCTTGTACATGGACAATGTAATATGACAATTTCCACATTTTCTTTTGTTTTTCTCCAGCAGGAACTTGCACTGTGGGCACTGTTTGATTTTTTCATTTTCTTCCTGAAGTTTCAAGACTCTACAATCATATAAACCTGTCCTGTCATCCAAGAAAAGTTGTTCTGAGATGTAGTCAATTACAAATGCCAACTGCTGATATAGTTCCCTGTAGTGAACAGTTTTCAGCTTTTCAAAGTAGTCTACATTTTCTTCACCATCAATTGTTGTTGTGGGACTTTTCTGACATAGTTTGGATATCAACTCTTCATTACCTAATGAGGTTAACCATTTGCCAGGCATGAAGCTCTCAACTGACTGTACTGGTACCGAGTTACTGTCTTTACTTGCACCAATGCCTGCCACAGCAATGTTGGTTATAACTGAAGATTTCACTCGGTTCTTAGCCTTGACATTCCAGCATTTCCCAATAACTTGTTCATTATCGAACATAAATATAACCTTCAGGACATGCAGATTTCTCTATTCCCTCAATGTCACCAAGGTACTTGGTTACAGTGGAGTATTTGCCACCAGGTGTGGCAGTTCCAAGAATATTACAAGCACTCTTGCTTCTAGTTGAGGAAAAGGTAAATATGTTTTGCATGAAAGACCCAGTTCCAATGAAACTGCTGTCACACAATATAGTCTATAAATGAACTCCAAAATGCATACAAGCTCTGCCAGTTGCTTTTCACATGTTTCAGTAACACTTTTCCCAGAAATGGCTCACAAAATGTTTGTTATATTACTGAACTCTTTTTGGTAACTGGAGATGTCGAAATGTTCAATGGCCTTCTTACTGTTATATGGGTGTTTATCTTTGAAACTTTTAATCATCATTTTGTCAGTGTCAGTTTTTCCACCTTCAGCAGCAGAAAAAGATGCAAAACATATATTGCATGTACCGGAATGAGGAAAGAATTCAGTTGGTTGGATATTTGACCCACAGGAGAATGAGTAACGCCTTTTCTTCACATTAATGCGAATCCGGTGTAGACAAGACCGACAATAAACTGCAGGGTCTATGTGGGTGGATTGATGATTCATCACTATCAATATCAATGTTAAATGCTTCCAAAAGTTCTTTTTTAAATATTGCCTTTGAACATGTTGAATGTATTTTGGTAGCTCTACTACAAGGACGACAAAGTTTGTGTGATATTTCTCTGTGACTTTTATTGAAAACAAGAAGAAAATAATCAACTGCTGTGTTGTCAATGCAAGTTAAAACATGTAAAACAAGCAGTCATGCCACACAATAATACACTCAATAAGTTACCGTTTTCTGGGAAATTACTTCAGTCAAATACAGTTGTATGAATAATGAATGATTTTGTTTTTCAGTACATTGTAACTTTAGTATCAATTTTTATAACAAACTTTTATAACATATTTTCGAATTAATTGCGGATAATTTTCACCATTTAAATATAATATATATAATTTAAGAATATGTAAACAAAGTACATAAATTGGTCTTCTTTGCGAAATAGGCCTAGAACCAATGGAAAATACCCACATTTTGAGACTAAAATTGATGCTAAAACTACGACGTACTGAAAACAAATTCATTTTTTCACAACAACAAAAAAGCAATATATTTTTTTATAAATTACACTTCCGAGATATGAGAGGTCTAAATTGTTGTTCCGAATTTGATTCAGTCTCGGATGACGTATCTTCTCATGAGACTTCGCGATGACTAAATATAGTAGTGGGGGGTCCTCGAAACTAGAAAACTGTTGTTTGTCACACGAGAAACGTAAGCGAACCGCGCAATAAACTGTAATAGTTGTTGTAGACGGTTTTTCCGTCTGAAACAAAGAGACGGTTTTCCGTCTTGGACCTGACTGGTAAAGCTTTCAAAACGTTATACGGTAGACAAGTAGAGGACATTTCCAAATTTGACGTACCAGTGACAATAATGATGTCCGATGCAATTCTATATTTTGATTCGTACCATATTTCCCATGGTTTTTCTTCAGGCGAACAATTTACTTGTTTTGCGTGTGTTTGTGATGGGTACCACCGGTGGAGCAGGATACGCTCGCCTTTTCACGAACACCTGGTGTCATCACTTTTTGGTAGTGATTTATAAACACACGCTCATGATATGGTCGGAATCGTACAATAGGTTTTGTCGCTTTTATTTATTTGTAATTGTGCAATTCGCTTTTCTACATGATAAATATCATTGTATACATATGTTAATGTTTTTGTCCTAATGACGTAAAACTTTCAATGAAAAAGGTCAATTCCTCACAGAGATGGTCCGTTATATATATGTTACGCCACAGTTTGTAATACATGTACATGACAACCATCAAAAGAAAGAACAGAGTAAATGAAAAAAATACTTGAAACGTCTGTTTCACGAAATCAATTGTGCGACCCAGAAATCTAGCGAAGGCTATCGATCATCAGTATAAATTCGGGTAACTGTCTGTCTCTTGTCAGTAGCAGTTTCAAGAATCAAGATGATGTTCGTCTCCAAATTGTTCCCGTGTCTCTTACTAGCCATCATCGTTCCGTCAGCATCAGAAACCCTAGAAGAAAAATTTGCAGCTTTCCTTGAAGTTCTCGAAAACATTAAATCCGAAGTTAGCAACATATCGAACGTCCTCGCCGATCAGTGTCCCTGTTTTGGTAAGAAGTATTGGTTTCTATGTTTATGAATGAACTAGCTGTTGTACGTGAGAAATTTACTTGGCGCTGGTTCAGTTCAATACAGACTCCAATATAATATTTATCCGTTTCTCCATGTTTTTACATGGTAGATAAAACACTTCTTGTGGGTTATGCTTGGAGATGTAAACCCTTGGCGATCGGGGTTTGAAAATGTAAAACCGCCGATCCGCATTTCATTTCCCTTTCACCTCGCGTCTTATACATCCGCAATTCATCTCCCTTCCACCTCGCGTCTTATACATCCGTATTTCATCTCCTTTCACCTCGCGTCTTATACATCCGCATTTCATCTCCCTTTCACTTCGCGTCTTATACATCCGCATTTCACCTCCTTTCACCTCGCGTCTTATACATCCGCATTTCATCTCCCTTTCACTTCGCGTCTTATACATCCGCATTTCATCTCCCTTTCACCTCGCGTCTTATACATCCGCATTTCATCTCCCTTTCACCTCGCGTCTTATACATCCGCATTTCATCTCCTTTCACCTCGCGTCTTATACATCCGCATTTCATCTCCCTTTCACTTCGCGTCTTATACATCCGCATTTCATCTCCTTTCACTTCGCGTCTTATACATCCGCATTTCATCTCCCTTTCACTTCGCGTCTTATACATCCGCATTTCATCTCCTTTCACCTCGCGTCTTATACATCCGCATTTCATCTCCCTTTCACTTCGCGTCTTATACATCCGCATTTCATCTCCCTTACACCTCGCGTCTTATACATCCGCATTTCATCTCCCTTTCACTTCGCGTCTTATACATCCGCCTTTCAACTCCCTTTCCACCTCGCGTCTTATACATCCGCATTTCATCTCCTTTCCACCTCGCGTCTTATACATCCGCATTTCATCTCCCTTTCACTTCGCGTCTTATACATCCGCCTTTCATCTCCCTTTCACCTCGCGTCTTATACATCCGCATTTCATCTCCTTTCACCTCGCGTCTTATACATCCGCATTTCATCTCCTTTCCACCTCGCGTCTTATACATCCGCATGTCATCTCCCTTTCACCTCGCGTCTTATACATCCGCATTTCATCTCCTTTCCACCTCGCGTCTTATACATCCGCATTTCATCTCCTTTCCACCTCGCGTCTTATACATCCGCATGTCATCTCCCTTTCACCTCGCGTCTTATACATCCGCATGTCATCTCCCTTTCACCTCGCGTCTTATACATCCGCATTTCATCTCCCTTTCCACCTCGCGTCTTATACATCCGCATTTCATCTCCTTTCCACCTCGCGTCTTATACATCCGCATTTCATCTCCCTTTCCACCTCGCGTCTTATACATCCGCATTTCATCTCCCTTTCCACCTCGCGTCTTATACATCCACATGTCATCTCCTTTCCACCTCGCGTCTTATACATCCGCATGTCATCTCCCTTTCACCTCGCGTCTTATACATCCGCATTTCATCTCCCTTTCCACCTCGCGTCTTATACATCCGCATTTCATCTCCTTTCCACCTCGCGTCTTATACATCCGCCTTTCATCTCCCTTTCACCTCGCGTCTTATACATCCGCATGTCATCTCCCTTTCACCTCGCGTCTTATACATCCACATGTCATCTCCCTTTCACCTCGCGTCTTATACATCCGCATTTCATCTCCCTTTCCACCTCGCGTCTTATACATCCGCAAGCATAACTGAGCGAGGTGAAGTGGGGTTTCACGTCGCGTCCAAGATTATAGCACTTTAAAGCGATGTGCAAGCACATGTGTGTGTGGCTGCTTGTACCAGTCCAGACTGATGCCGATTTATAGTGCTAGCTCACTGAGATACCATGCCGCAGTTTAACATGAATACCCCACTAATGCCACAGTATACTGACTCCGAGCCGACCATTCCTTGTTTAGTACCATCTTTTAACGTTTTGGTTTTTTTAGTATGACGCGGCCGGGGATCGAACCCCGGACCTTCCGCTCTCCGGACGAACGCTCTACCACTAGACCACGGGTATAACAGAGGAGGAATGCTACACATATTCATTGATATTTTATCAATATGCAAGAGGCAGTCATTTTGGTGACTCTAATATTTTAGAAAACTACGTGACTGCCCCCACACCACTAAGGATCTATCCGCTGAAAACAGGGAGAAAATCTGTCTGTCTCTAATATGAAGTACATATTTAGATGTTATCATATGGCATTTTTAATACAGTACCCCATATCAACCCGAGACACCCATATCAGTCCGAGGGCTGATATGGGAATCGTGGGTTGATATTGGGTATGATATGAACACTGCGGTATAACAACGTTTCTTATCATATACCATAACTCAAAATTGTAATATGTATCTATATGCAATGAATGCAAAGCGTTTTTACCTTGTTTGGAAGTCATTGTCACGGGAAAGGTAGCTGCGCGTAACTCTAATTTCTGACTACCCGTGCTGATATTGATCGCCCAAACATTACATAATTGTCTGTTTCTAATAGGAGCTACATATAAACGCTCTTTTAACCTGTACCCCAATTGAAATAGCGCTTTACTAGTAAGGCCTGATATTGCCGCCTTGGTAGCATTATATCATTTTTAATCGAACTTTCGAGTACTTTTCTGGTTGTTAAATTCATAATTTTCACATGGTATTCATGTTTCAACTTTTCCAGGAATTTCGAATATTAATAAACAATTATCGAAATTTCGAGTTCTATCTCGTAATGTCGATTAATTTCTCGTTATTTCAATTAATTTTGTTTTTAAATTTGCGAATTTGTTCTTGCTAGGCCGATTATTTTCAGGAAAATTTGATATTTATCTCGTTATGTCAATGTTTTTTAAGAATTTATGCTCATTTCGTTTCCCCGTGACCTATATTCGTGTTATTGCCTATTTTTTCTACCGGAGGCGCCTGCGTTAAGTGTTGTCATTTCATCATCCAGCCAGAGTAGTCGCCCAAAACACCCAGTATCAAATGTTCCGTGTTTCCTCTATTAGACGCCCGGTCATCTATTAATTTCGCGTGAGCTATTCACCCACCGTCTATTAAAGGCCCGGCGTCTATTCTGTCAATGCTTGCACGGTGGCAACACACTACCCTACCGAATGCAGCCATTTTCTTATGGACGATATGTAGCCTATGGATGTATTCATACGCACGTTTTTTTGTGTGTGAAAAGGCTTAATACCAAAAAGAGGTTTCAGTAGGAAAATGGAAACCTCTTTTTAACCAATCAGAATCAAGCATTCTTCGACGTCAAGGACGAAAACATATTCATACTGAAGTTTTAGCTCTTCATGTGAAATGATATGAAATATTTCCTTAGTTACGGTGTATGTTATAAAAGTTAACATTCCATGAATCGTCTCTACGTGGCTTGCGGTTTGTGAATATTAAAATACGATTTGCTCAAGATTTAATTCTTTGTTCTTTACTCTGTCGGATGTTAAGTGTTTGTTCAGATATTGTTGAAGCCCTTTCCGAGTCACATTTTGGGTACAAAAAGTTGCATTTAACTGATTTGCGTGTAGTTTTGATGCGAGAGTATAAGTTATGGTGTCTTTAGTTGACGTATACGGTGTCATATGTTTCTGCTAACCTAATATGACACCGTATACTACAACTAAAGACACCATAACGAAATATTTGGTATCTTTGTCGCACATGTCATGTCAAAATGAAAACTTAACACTTACAACCTACGACGTTAAGGGTCAAAGGGAGACTACTCTTCAAACCTCAGAGGCCAAACCTTGTTGATAATTTAAACTTTATATAATCTTTATTAAAGTTACAAACGTGATCCAAAAAAATATTACGTCCTGGTGAAATATGAGAGGTGGGTGTTCCAAAATGGCTGTTACTGACGGTATACGGTCTCATATTAGGTCAGTAACAGCCCCCTTGGACTTTTACTGACGGTATACGGGCTCATGTGGGATCAGTAGTTCTGCTCTCTGATTGGTCAATCTCACTTTGAGGCATAATAGGGGTGGTATGGGCCACAAAATTAAATACTTGAATCTGCTATACACGTTGTACATTGGGCCATAGTCACGAATGTGGCTTGTAAGTCACACCTTATCTATTAATAGCGTCCATCGGATAAACAACAGTTCGACCAGGTAGATTGTGTGTCATCAAACAGGAAAGCGTTGGTCTTTGGTTGATTGTGTTGTAAAACTATCTCACTCACTTACTTGTATGGGGAATTGAATGTTTATTTCAATTGTCATTGATGAATACATAATATATTTGTAAAGAAAACAGTCCAATCCCTTTGTCTTTTGGGACAATAAAAATATGTTAAATAAAAAAATAAAAAAACAGTGACATGATAACTACAGCTTGTTGTGAGCTTGTGTCTCTTGAAATGATATGAAAATCAAAATGTACAATAAACTCATACATTTGTACTGATTAAACCAGTTAAAACAGTTACAGTTTTCAGATGTCTTGACGCTTAACATATATCCACAAAGTTTCTTAGCTCTGTAGAGTAGCGTGTTCCTCACTATCAATAATATAGAACATATATACAACTGGGGACTGTATATTATTGTCCAAAACGCCGCAGTCAGATTAATGTTTGTGTATTATTCCATTTTCCTGGGCATGGGCGTTAACTGACTATAAAAGTCCTGTTACCACCCTTGCCGAACATGCATCAACCAAGTCAGCGAGCTTCATCACCCGATCCCGTTAGTCGCCTCTTACGACAAGCATAGTCGCCTTTTGCGGTAAGCATGGGTTGCTGATTATGAAGATCTATTCTACCCCGGATCTTCACGGGTTGAGTGTGGCAAAGAATCTGTTTACAATAACAGAACATAGTAGACAACATTATAATATTACACATATCAATGTATACGATGTTATGTAAGTGTCGTGTACACATGAGGAAGGGGAATCCCGAGTAAATGTACTCAGGTCACATGAAAACGAGAGCGGAAGAAACTAAATAATATCAAAAAACGTAGTTTTCTCATTTGTAGGTAATATCACAAAGTAATATATGTATCAGTTCTCTGTCATTATATACCATTTTGCCACCTTCTACAAAGATAAGTCGTGAAAGCCGGCAAGTTATTCAGTGGCAGTTTGATATTAGTTTGCGTATGTTTTGGTTATAATTGACTCCGAAAGTAATATCCTTTTTCTATACATTAGCCTCACCTAAGTCTTGCCCTTTTCCTATTCATTTTACTAAAATTATCACCGTTATCTTTGCGTTGTTCAATGAGAAATGCGTGTGCCAGCTTGCAGCATTTCCGATGTGTTAGAACAAGTTCGTGCTGAAAACAATCCGCACAATCGCGTGCACGACAAATTTGAGCAAGGCACCCGCATGCGTAGAACGGTAGAATTCAGCTTCTGCTAGGAGCTACGAGCACCGCGTCAAACTCCGCCCTGTAATCAAACACGCGGATGTTGACCGGTGAAAGCTGAGAAACAGAGGGGCGGTCGGGTAGTCTAGTGGTTAAATCGTTCGCTCGTCACGTCGAAACCCGGGTTCGATTCCCGACATGGGTACAATGTGTGAAGCCCATTTCTGGTGTCCCCCGTCGTGATTTTGCTGGAATATTGCTAAAAGCGGCGTAAAACCATACTCACTCACTCAGTGAGAAACAGAAATACAGGTAGACGTTGTTGTCAACAACTAGGGCAGGTAACTCTAATTTCCACTCACAGCTGCCGCCGACAGCACTCGACGTTTTCTCAGCTCTTCCATCATTTGCTGCCACTCCCCATCATTACAAATATACTTGCAGCAATCCCTTCGGCCACATAAAATATATTTGTTTTGTTTTAGTTCATGTAAATTGATCATAAACCTAAACATGAAATTGCATCTGAATGTGTTCATAAAAAAATATGAATTGCCTATATACCTATAACACGTCCCATTTTAATTCTGGAAACCAAGAATGTTTTCCTTTGCTCAAAACTCATGTTTTTCTTTTAATAAATACATAAGGGTTCGTCTACAAGCATCATTACACATGATTCAACTCATTCTAACTTAATTCAACTAATTTATGGCGTTATTAAAATATTTCGCCCATGTTTTGGTCAGTCCCTTTCAAGCATTAACTAATCGTGTGCAAAGTATATTGTATGATGTGAAATATACTTAATATTTTATCATTACATTACTATTTAAAACGGGCCTTTGGTTGGGTGGGCCACAGAGCGGAAGAACCCGGCCTGCTGCATATTTGGTCTTGTGTATTGTAGTAAAAGATAACGGCCTACGCTAGTGGATTTTGCGTTCAATAATCGTTCCATTAATCAAACTGGGCAATTAAGTGACACTTGGGTGTACGATATACAGGTACACGTGCGCATATTTTAATGGGGGGAAAAAACCCGATTCGTCTTTTATTGCATAACGTCTGGCTGAATATCTCATATTCTAATAATTCAAATATTCTCATTAGAATGTTGTATCTAATTAAAGGTGTCGGCCTTATTTACAGTTGCGTCTACAATACCTGCTCAATACCTGCTCAATACCTGTTCAATTACAATCTGCCACACCACGCTTCAATAAACAGTTATGTATGTGTTGCTGTCCCCCAAAACCTAGCCTGTATATATATTTTCATAGATGTATTACATATTTTCGTTAATTGTGGATATATTAAGCACAAAGACACAAAAGGTTTATCGAATATTCAACATGAGCGAATCTTGTATTTTCTCCGCGATCCTGATGTGTATCATCGTTTAATGGGCCATTCAATAAAAGTTTGTTTGGGGGCGATATCAAAGGCGCCGCCCACTGGACACAGTGTCGTCCGTTTCGCGTGAACTACCACCCAACCCTGTCAGTAAGAGTTATGTTATCGCTACACAAATAACTGTGATGCGGTGTCAGTTTGGAAGTAGTTTCTGGACACAGTGTCGTCCGTTTCGCGTGAACTACCACCCAACCCTGTCAGTAAGAGTTATGTTATCGCTACACAAATAACTGTGATGCGGTGTCAGTTTGGAAGTAGTTTCTGGACACAGTGCCGTCCGTTTCGCGTGAACTACCACCCAACCCTGTCAGTAAGAGTTATGTTATCGCTACACAAATAACTGTGATGCGGTGTCAGTTTGGAAGTAGTTTCTGGACACAGTGCCGTCCGTTTCGCGTGAACTACCACCCAACCCTGTCAGTAAGAGTTATGTTATCGCTACACAAATAACTGTGATGCGGTGTCAGTTTGGAAGTAGTTTCTGGACACAGTGTCGTCCGTTTCGCGTGAACTACCACCCAACCCTGTCAGTAAGAGTTATGTTATCGCTACACAAATAACTGTGATGCGGTGTCAGTTTGGAAGTAGTTTCTGGACACAGTGTCGTCCGTTTCGCGTGAACTACCACCCAACCCTGTCAGTAAGAGTTATGTTATCGCTACACAAATAACTGTGATGCGGTGTCAGTTTGGAAGTAGTTTCTGGACACAGTGCCGTCCGTTTCGCGTGAACTACCACCCAACCCTGTCAGTAAGAGTTATGTTATCGCTACACAAATAACTGTGATGCGGTGTCAGTTTGGAAGTAGTTTCTGGACACAGTGCCGTCCGTTTCGCGTGAACTACCACCCAACCCTGTCAGTAAGAGTTATGTTATCGCTACACAAATAACTGTGATGCGGTGTCAGTTTGGAAGTAGTTTCTGGACACAGAAATCAGTAGCAACCAACAAGGCTTATGCCGTTCAAATAACCGAGTGACGCACGTAACAACGGTTGTCAATATGTCTGCTACAGCTACCATACCATCATCCATGTCACACCTGGCGTATAACTGGCTTTTTCAAAATATTGATTGTTAAAAAATCGTTAACAGACTGACGTATATCGAAAACAGTATTCTTATTTGATTAAAATAACAGTAAGTTAATTGGAAAATGAACTGGATGTTTAATTCCTTATATCCTGTTTGTGAAAATATGCACTGGACATAAGATTTGAAGACTAATAAAATCAATTTTAAGACCGTATAGACAATAAAACCGAATAAAATATGTCTTGGTGTCATCTCTTGTGTATTAGATGAGCAGTAAGCAAAAAGACTGAGCAACATAAACACGCATAAAAGGGTATAGTTGGTTGGTTGGTTTGTTGTTTTACGCCGCACTCAGCAACATCCAGTTCATTTTCCAGTTAACTTACTTACTGTTATTATTGGAACGGCATTGGCCTTGTTGACTGTTACTATACTTTGAGGATTTCTGTGGCCAGTGGCGGACGTAATTGAGACTCCTTCCACGCTGTCATCGCCTAAAAAATATTTGTGTACCGATTACAAAACTCTTACTGACAGGTATGTCTATTGGGCGGCGCCTTTGATATCGCCTCCAAACCTGCTTTTATTGAATGGCCTATTAAACGATGCTACACACCAGGATCGCGAAGAAAATACAATATTTGTTTATGTTGAATATATCAAGGTACCAATTCATCTTTCATAATTATTTTTTGTCTTTGTGCTTAATATATCCACAATTAACGAAAATATGCAATACATGTATACACAAAAATATATACATATACAAGCTAGGTATTTGCCCACAGCAACACTTACATAACTGTTTATTCAAGCGTGGTGTGGCAGATTGTAATTGAACGAGAGCAGGTATTGTAGACTCACCTGTAAATAAGGCCGACACTGTAATAAGATACAACGTACTAATGAGAATATGGGACTTATCACAAGAAGGCTGTTGGGTTTTTTCTGGACTGTTCCCATTTTTTTCATACCAAAGTGGTAACGCATTAAAAAGTTGCTTTCGTGTCACAATATTCACTCAAGTTTTCCTCGATCGTCTTCAAACATCGGCTCCATTGGTCAGTTCGATACCGCATAAAATAAAATAATTATTTCGAGATTTCGTTAGAATGTGAGATATTCAGCTTGTCGATAAACCTTTATGTATTTGTTAAAGATAAACATGAGTTTTGAGCAAAGGAAAATATTGATGTCATAAAAACCACCGTCATATAGGTGGAATATTATTGAGTGTGGTGTTAAACAACAAACAAATAATGAAATACATTTATGTGCGATTTAAAAAATATGTTTTTTCGTATGATGTTTTTAGTTTTTTCTTTTCATGTAAATCAGAAAATTGACAAATGTTCTGATATTCTCTACATTTCATGATGATAGTAACATCCAATTACTACTGAAGCAAAATACGTAAAATAATACAGACACAGCCTTTGTTGACTTGCATGGCGCAAACATATGTTGGATAGAGCCACTACTTACTTACTTACGTCAACGTAATCTGACGTCAGGGATCGCTGATCATGATATCAAACGCTGGTTTGTCGGGGAAAGACTCACACACTCACACATATATATCAATATTCTTGCAGAAGATGTAGTGCTGAATGGAACCGAAACAATTCAAGATGTGGAATGCTTTCAAACGAAGATTGCAGTCTTTCGAAATGGCTTCAATGCCTTACTCGCCTCTGCCAAATCCCTCAACGCCACAACAGGATGCCCCTTAGGAGGTACGTATTTTCAGGTCAATTACACTTTCTATCATATAGTCAGAAAGACAAGATCAACACTCATCAAATGTTGATTTGACCAGATCCATGCCTATCAGCTGGAGTGAGTGAGTGAGCTTTTACGCCGCAATATTCCAGCAATATCACGGCCGGGGACACCACAAAGGGGCTTCACACATTGTACCTATGTCGGGAATCGAACCCGCAGAGTAAATTGCGGCGCCGTACGTAAACCTCTCGGGCATCTGTGCTCCCATCTAAATATAATTGGCAGGACCTGATCGTCTTGAGTACAGAGAGGCAATGTGTAGGCTTTACCCTGCGTATAGGAAAACACTAACCCTAGTCTGCAGTGTTTTATTGTACGATAAACAGCAACCACTCGTCGTTTATTTCTTAGATAATGAACTATACTCATCATATCAAAGGGCAAGGTCATTTGCACACGTCCCTCGGATCACGTGTACTATTTTTTATACGATCAATGCATTTTTGGTTCGAGAACATGCATATTCTATATTGTGTACGCATTGTTCATTTGTTTTTCCAATTTCTTTTTTCAAGGTGCAGTGTTCATAAACCTGTGTAATTCGACTTCTGACGAGTCTGGTGGAAGTCAAAATAACACCCAGGAATCTACGACTATTGTTGATTATACGTTTGGGCCGTTCAATGAAAACTCGTATGAGCTTGACTACTTTGGGAACGATCCGTTTGTAGTCCGATGTCGAATTGTTCCAGGTGGACCGGATGTTCGACTGGGTGGCGCCACTGGTAAGCTTAGAACAACTTCCAATTTTTTCAGCCTCTGATAGCAATGTGTGAACATGTCTCTATTCAGTCCATAATCACAATGATTGACGATCGCCTCCTAGATTTAGTGGTCATAGCTCGTGGCCGGAGAGCGGAAGGTTTCTTGTTTAATCCCTGGTAAAATCATATCAAAAGACATTAAAATATTATACGTGTGGCCCTGCCTAACGTTAAGGAAATAAAACAAATACTGGTCGGCTAGTCGTCAGAAGACTGTGTCTGAGTGGGGTATTTATGATAAACTGCGTCGATTTAATTCAGTGGTTAGCACTAGTACAAGCGCCCAAAAACATACATGCATGTACGTCGCTAGAAAAGTGCAATGATCTTGATCGCGACCTTAAAACCCAATTCATCTAACCATTGATTACGTAATCATGTGTAGACAGGGGTGTGGTGGTGTGTAGTGGTTTAGGGTGGTGACGGGACGTATAGGGTGGTGTGGTGTTGGTGGTGGTTTTGTGCTGTGTCAGGTGGAATTTGGCGGTGTTGCGTGTGTAGGTTGTGTAAGGTGGGTCGGGCTGTGTCAGGTGGAATTGGGTGGTGTTGCGTGTGTAGGTTGTGTGAGGTGGGTTGGGCTGTGTCAGGTGGAATTGGGTGGTGTTGCGTGTGTAGGTTGTGTAAGGTGGGTCGGGCTGTGTCAGGTGGAATTGGGTGGTGTTGTGTGTGTAGGTTGTGTGAGGTGGGTTGGGCTGTGTCATGTGGAATTGGGTGGTGTTGTGTGTGTAGGTTGTGTGAGGTGGGTTGGGCTGTGTCATGTGGAATTGGGTGGTGTTGCGTGTGTAGGTTGTGTGAGGTGGGTTGGGCTGTGTCATGTGGAATTGGGTGGTGTTGCGTGTGTAGGTTGTGTGAGGTGGGTTGGCCTGTGTCGGGTGGAATTGGGTGGTGTTGCGTGTGTAAGTTGTGTGAGGTGGGTTGGCCTGTGTCAGGTGGAATTGGGCGTTTAACCACGAACCTACCTCACCACCGACGCTGTTTTGAAACCAAATAAATTGTGTCTCCTTTGTTCATAGCGAGTGCATGACATGTAACAGGTCTGTACGCTTTTGTTGACAGATGCGCCATTAACAGCGTCAGCTGTTGGAACTGGCATTGTTTACTTAGAGCCAACGAATGAAGTGTATGTGGCCATTACATTTGACGACACCTCACTGAATGGGGTTTATGCCTTCAACAGGACCGGCTTTCCGGATATCAGGCTGGTCTTCCCGTATGATGGCCCCACTGGACAGCTCTACCTATCTGGAGAGTATGTAGATAACGTATATTAAGAAATGATCCTTGATTCCGAGAACTGATTCTCACAGTCACTGTTGTCTTTGAATGTATGTTGAAAAAGATGAGGTTTCCATGGCAACTAGTTTGACATGTGCTTTCTTATCGTTTCCGCATGATGTCAGCCTCACACAAGACCTCACATGGAGCCGTTGTGGGACATTTATATACTATTGACGACAGACAGGAAGGCGCCTCAGATATTTGCTCTTGGTTCGACCTTCTACTGTAAATGTACAAATGAACGTTATAGAATATCTAGCGTCCTCATTTAAATAAGCATAACTGCCAATTTGTTTTTCTCAGGCCTCTGTCCTAAGCGTCTACAAACCCAATTCAAGTACTCTTTTCTTCTTGCAGTTTTCTGTATATGGTTGATGGTCCGAAAATCTTCAGGATCGCTGATGGCGACAGTTCATGGACTCTAGTAATTACGTGGCTTTTAGTTCCCATTGGGTTTGCAGTTCAAGATGATGGTAAGTAGGATCAATCAATCAATCAATCAATCAATCAATCAATCAATCAATCAATCAACATTGATGCTTAGTAAACAACCTGCACTACCAAGGTGTATAAGTATATTCAGCTCTGCAGCCAAATGACAGTCCCATCTGATTTGAGATTATTTTACCACCTTACATTTTCCAATATTACATTGGTCGGACGTACAATACGCAGCTGAGTCTGAACCTGAGGAAAGCTACAACCAGAACTAACATCTCCACAACAGGAACATTGTGACCACTTATTTCTAGTTGTGTCGCCCTTGCGACAATCTTGCGTAAATGACCGAGTTCATTCAATAATGGCTGCCCTATGTGTCCATGCTACAGGTACAATGGCGTTTTGCGAGTCATCGGGTGCCCTGTGGCTGTTCAATCCAGGAACATTTTTCTTCAGACAGGTGAAACAGCCAAATCCTGTGTCCTGTGCCTCCCTCGAACTGCACAACGGCCTTATCTACGTCGCAAGCGAGGGCTCGTCGTAAGTTTGTTTGTTTGTTGTTTAACGCCGCAATATTCCAACGTAGTCTGGTGTGGAACTCACCAGTTTGAAATAAGTGCCGTAATGCTTGCGAAAGCTGCTTTCTGATTGGCTAAGGTCGACTCCTTGTTTTGGTCGGTCAAAGTTCTCGAAAGATTGTCCTGACGTGACTTGGAATAGGATGTTCTTTGTTCAGCGAGAACTAAAATGTGATTTTAATGAGATTGAAATATTACCTTGCCTCAATCATTTGTTGTTCAAAACCTGGACTATTTAGCTGTATAAAGATTGTTTTGTTTCAGAATGGTTGAGGTTTTCAACTCTTCTGCTGTTGGAACTGATGACGTCATGCCATTCAATTTGAACACGTCAACAACATGTCCATTACTTGTGATAGACCCTCGGTTCTGGTATGAAGTGTTTTAATATGGGTAGTAAAAAGTTTGGCTTATAATTATTATGAACCCATTAATAATCTTTCGACAATTTGATTTATATCTAATCAAGAATAGTTTTGGTTTTTGCAATGACAATCAATATCTCCCAATTCATAATGGTGTAAAATTGATACCAATACATGTATCGTATATTGTCAATACTTCACCGTTAGTATACACTATGTGCCTCTATCATCGGTGAATACGTTCGGCCGCCATGCGATCTAATAGCCGCGCGTCAGATAATCAAATGTCCCCTTTGTGTAACAATGGAGTAGGGATTAAAAAGGACAACGCCCATATCCAAAAGGGACTGTCCCAAACTGGATATATTATAATTAATTTGAATAAATTTGGTATCGAAGGGAAGTTTTTGATTATTTATAGATCTATGTATGGCAACATCAATGTTTGTGTAAAATATTTTCATACCAACAGCGATATTTTTTGGAAATACTGGATTAATGCAAGGGGACATTTTATCGCATCTGTTATTTCGTTGTTATTGAGGTAATACCGTCAGTATGACAACCATACGCTAATCTATAGATATACAGATACTGCTGTTGGTCAGCAAACAGTTTCAAATGAATAGATTAAGGATGGCAACGATAAAGCGAATCAGTGTGTGTGTGTGTGTGTGTGTGTGTGTGTGTGTGTGTGTGTGTGTGTGTGTGTGTGTGTGTGTGTGTGTGTGTGTGTGTGTGTGTGTGTGTGTGTGTGTGTGCGTGCGTGCGTGCGCTTGTGTGCGTGCTTGTGCGTTTTTAACTTCAAATCTGCATTCGGTTTTTTTCAGATCGTGAACGGACACCACGTCATCAGAGAGTGTAACCATCACTACAGACACACAGTTATAAAAACAACATGTTTTAACTATACATGATAGTTGTTATTTTTCGTCACCAGGATTGAGAAACTGATTGAAGAATTCCTAAAAATACCATTTGTTTATTTAACGCCGAGTTATATTTAACGCCGCTTTGAACAGTATTTCAGTTAAATCACAATATCCGCATCATCTTGATGGTGCAGGAGCCGCTGTTATCAACACTATTTGATAGTTGTTGATTAACACACGCTGTTGATATAGTCATATTCGAACAGTGGACTGTTACCAGATATTTCTCATGTTTTTGGAAAGATTATTGTCGCATTTATTGGCTGGTTTAACACTTTTTTAAATGCAAGGATGAAGTGCTGAAAAGCCAAGTATCATAATCAGGGCAAATTTGGGATTCGAACCCAGGTCCTGGGGATTTAACTCAGAACAGCAAATTACAACACCCAAGTCGACTTGGCAAACGATGATCTGTTGGGAGAATACAAGTAGGGGATGTTGTAATGATCAACCATCTATGTTATATAAAGTACGACTTAATTGGTATGGTAGTCTCGTAATAGAGCTAGCTCTACTGTAGTCATGTTTATTTGTCAACCCGTGTCCTTTTCAACACATATCCCCTCCACCCATGACCCATGCAGCAATACTCCCCGCACATGAGCCTCGTCCATCCATCCCCTATCCACCTATGCCCCATCCACCCATGTCCCATCTACCCGTGACCCATCTACCCGTGTCCCGTCCACTCATGCCCCATCCATCCATCCCCTATCCACACATGCCCCATCTACCCATGTCTCGTCCACCCGTGCCCCATCTACCCGTGCCCCATCCACTCGTGTCCCATCCACCCGTGTCCCATCCATCCATCCCCTATCCACACATGCCCCATCTACCCATGTCTCGTCACCCCATGCCCCGTCCACACATGCCCCATCCACCCATGCCCCATCCGCCGTGCCCAGTCCACGTGTCCCATCAATCCACCCTCTATCTACACATGCCCCATCCACCCATGCCCCGTCCACCCGTGCCCCGTCCACTCGTGCCCCCATCTACCCGTGCCCCATCCACTCATGTCCCGCCCAACCGTGCCCCGTCCACCCGTGTCCCAACCATCCATCCCCTATCCACACATCCCCCGTCAACCCATGCCCCATCCACCCATGCCCCATCCACCCATGCCTCATCCACCCATGCCCCATCCACTCGTGCCCCGTCCACCTGTGGCCCATCCACTCATGTCCCGTCCACCCGTGCCCCGTCCACCCGTACCCCATCCACTCATGCCCCATCCACTCATGTCACGTCCACCCGTGCCCCGTCCACCCCTGTCCCATCCATCCATCCCCTATCAACACATGCCCCATCTACCCATGTCTCGTCCACCCATGCCCCATCCACCCGTGCCCCGTCCCCCAATGCCCAATCCACCTGTGCCCCGTCCACCCGTGTCCCATCCATCCATCCCCTATCCACCCATGCCCCATCCACCCATATCCCATCCACCCATGCCCCATCCACCCATGCCCCATCGACCCATATCCCATCCACCGATGCCCCATCCACCCGTGCCCCGTCCACCCATGCCCCGTCCACCCATGCCCCATCCACCCGTGCCCCGTCCACCCGTGCCCCATCCACCCTTGCCCCGTCCACTCGTGTCCCATCCATCCATCCCCTATCCACACATGCCCTATCCACCAATGCCCCATCCACCCGTGCCCCGTCCACCCATGCCCCATCCACCCATGCCCCATCCACCCATGCCCCATCCACCCATGCCCAATCCACACATGCCTCATCCACCCATGCCCCATCCACCCGTGCCCCGTCCACTCGTGCCCCATCCACCCGTGCCCCATCCACCCGTGCCCGTCCACCATGCTCCATCCACCCATGTCCCATCCATCCATCCCCTATCCACACATGTCCCGTCCACCCATTCCCCATCTACCCGTGCCCCATCCACTCGTGCTCCATCCACCCGTGCCCCATCCACCCGTGTCCCATCCATCCATCCCCTATCCCCACATGTCCCGTCCACACGTACCCAATCCACTCATGTCCCGTCCACCTGTGCCCCGTCCACCCTTGCCCCATCCACCCGTGCCCCGTCCACCCGTGTCCCATCCATCCATCCTCTATCCACACATGCCCCATCTACCCGTACACCATCCACTCATGTACCGTCCACCCGTGCCCCGTCCATCCATCCCCTATCCACACATGCCCCATCTACCCATGTCTCGTCAACTCGTGCCCCATCCACCCATGCCCCGTCCACCCGTGTCCCATCAATCCATCCCCTATCCACACATGCCCCGTCCACCAAATTTCCCATCCACCCGTGTCCCATCCATCCCTCCCCTATCGACACATGCCCCGTCCACCAAATTTCCCATACACCCGTGTCCCATCCATCCCTCCCCTATCGACACATGCCCCGTCCACCAAATTTCCCATACACCCGTGTCCCATCGATCCATCCCATATCCACACATGCCCCATCTACCCGTACCCCATCCACTAATGCCCCATCCACTCATGTCACGTCCACCCGTGCCCCGTCCACCCGTGTCCCATCCATCCATCCCCTATCCACACATGTCCCATCTACCCATGTCTCGTCCACCCGTGCCCAATCCACCCATGCCCCATCCACCCATGCCCCGTCCACCTGTGTCCCATCCACACGTGTCCCATCCATCCATCCCCTATCTACACATGCCCCGTCCACCCATTCCCCATCCACCCATGTCTCATCCACCCATGCCCCATCCACTCGTGCCCCGTCCACCCGTGTCCCATCACTTCATCCCCTCTCCACACATGCCCAATCCACCCATGCCCCATCTACCCGTACCTTATCCACCCGTGCCCCGTCCACCCGTGCCCCATCCACACATGCCCCATCTACCCATGTCTCGTCAACCCGTGCCCCTTCCACCCCTGTCCCATCAATCCATCCCCTATCCACACATGCCCCATCTACCCATGTCTCGTCCAGACAATCTAGTGATTAATATCCTGAGCATCGATCCACGCAGTTTGGATCGATGACATGCATCAACCAAGTCAGCGAGCCTGATCACCCGATCCCGCAAAGTCACCTTTTGCTGAAGACTTATTCTACCCCGAAATCTTCACGGGTCCATTAAAGCAAGAGTAGAGAGCGAACGTGTTATTGTGGTAAATGAAAATCAACAATGCTAACGGCTCAGAGCTATTGCACTGAAGTGTCGAAATCAATGGCCCCCTACTCACGCGCACAGCGGAAGTGCTTGGTTCACGTGCAATGTTTCGGGTGTGTTTGAACTTAAGGATTTGGTTCCGAAACCGTTCATGCTCTGGCAGTCATTTCTTGTAAGCAGATCTTTCATCTGACGACCTATACTTACATGTATATTTCATGATCCCCTACATTTCTTAGAGAGTATATGTTGTTTTTGCGTTTAATTGTTTCGTTAGCTATTTCTTAGCGGCTTGTAAATAACCGATTCGGGACACTGATTGGTGGCATAGTAACGTCACACGCCGTCCGAGTGCGATGACACGAAAGCAGCTACGTCACTGATCCTGACTATCCGTTCCTCTTAATCCCACAAAAAGCATAGCTCATTGGGGACCTATAATGCCCTAAATTCCCGGAGAGCGTAAGAAGGATGATCCTTTGTCCACTGGTCAGTGAGTGTGAGGAGCCGATAATTCAGTTTACGGAATGCGGGGAGGATGTGGTGAGGTGAGGCGGTGGCTGATATATACTTCTGTCACTACCTAAAGCATACAATTTCTTCTTCGAATGGAGGAGACAAACAATATCCAGTATTTCTGGAAACAGCCTTTTCTTCAGATAAAGTAAGGCCCCTCCAGCAATATGATATGGTTGTAGTAGTGTTCATTCTGGCACCAATGAACCCAAAGTCCGGTCCACACAGTGATTTTAGGGCTGATTGTTCTTACCACAAGGTTTGTTGTGCTCTATCTTTCAAAATACATTCATATGGCTGTAAACCTCACCCAGACACAGTATAATGACTCCGAGCCGACCAGTCCTTGTTGTATTCCCTTAATCCTGAGCGCCAGCCACAGTAACAACAAACACCATCTAACATTTTAACGTATGTAAACTATCATCTGTCGGCTATATTGCAGTCGAAGTCCCGACTGGATGAGGTGCACATTGTAGAGATCAGCAAACCGAGTACAGGGACGGCCAAGAAGAAGAACGCAGAGATTATCGTACCGGATGATGATCGATGTTTCAGCCAATGAATCTATGTAGACACAATTTGTATGGCTAACAACTTCTTTAATACTGTTAAAAGCGACGTTTCGGTATAGATCCTTAAACCGTTGTCAGGCAACGTTACCTTGTCATCCGTCAACTTCTAAGCAATGCCTAATATCAAACAACTTAACAATAAATCTATGCCACTTTGTCTTCCTCATTGCTTATCATGTTCATACACACTGACAGGAAGAGTGTGCGAGTGTTGTGTGACGCCACTTCAATACTGGACACGTGAAGATCCGGGGTAGAATAGGTCTTCAGCTACCCATGCTTGCCGTAAAAGGCGACTATGCTTGTCTTAAAAGGCGACTAACGGGATCGGGAGGTCAGGCTCGCTGACTTGATTGATGCATGTCATCGAATTCTAGTTGCGTCGATCGATGCTTATGATGTCAATCACTGAATCGTTGGTCCGGACTCATATAGCTGGAACATTGCTAAGTGCGGCGTTAAACAACAAACAAACAAAACTACAGCACTGTACAAGCTATATGACGGAGTCTGAGGCAGGCAGACCAGTGGTTGGTAACATGATCCGGGTACCACGCCAAGTGGTAAGATGACCCACTACAAGACAAGTCACAGTGCCTGACCACTCCATCCCCATTATAAACATAAAACTATTCGCCAGACGTGCCACATGTCCTGAAAATATAATATTCCGGCACCTCCTTTCAAAGAAAAACTTTATATTCATTGAAGCAGTGACCGAAGACATTTCTTATCCTATATCAAGTCCAGGTTCCATGGACGCTACCAGTGATTTAACTCGTAACGGTGCCCATGTAACCATATGTACAATTTAGAAAAACAAACACGTGACACATTTCAACATCTACGAGTAACAATTAGCCTTAATGTGTTTACAGTTACTTCTCTATCTAAGGTCCTTTCCAATATGCTGGAACACACAAAGCATGGCGTTGTCATTTCAGAAACTGTTTTATCAGAAAACAAGTTTTGTATTGACGCTGATTGGTTAACTCCCGTGCGTGTCATGTTTTGATTGATCCGTATTTGGTTGTCATAATTATATAATGTTTTGAAGCGCTTGATAAAGACCAAATTTCAATTGCAATGTTGGTTCAATTCGTTTTTCCGGCAAATTTAAAGTTCATCGGCTAGTGAGATTAAATGCCCCACAGCTATTAAGGTAAGCGTTAAGACCCGTGTTAAATCTCTACAGGGATTGCCTAAAAGTAGGACCGGGACAGGCCAGCGGGTAACACTAAAAATGGCTTGCAGAATATTAAAACGAAACGTGCGTATCTGGGCAAAAAAGTATCAAATGTATACAAATATATATATTTGCTCAAGGAATTGAATTCGAATCAAAATATATACTCTTCAAAAAAGAAACTTGACACTGACTTTCAAAATGAAATATAATGCGATTGTTTCAAAATAGGACACAGAAACCATAATTGAAACACTGTTTGAAGATCAATGTACACAATGTTCAAAACATTAATCGTGTCACCTAGACAGACACACGTACACGATACAGTTAATGTCACAGGGGTACACCGTCCTACCGCCGTGATGAATTCCGGCCCATACCATGACACTCCCGCCGCCTAGTGGGACAACCTGCTGCACAAAGTTGGGGGCGTAACGTTCAGCCGGACGTCTGTAGACACGTGCGCGCCCATCAGCACGTGTGAGTAGGTAACGGGACTCGTCAGTAAACAGTACATTTCTCCACCTTGCAACTGCCCATCTAACCCTCTGTTGGCACCAAAGCAGACGGTCCGCCAGATGACGTGGGGTCAATGCATGACGTCGAACAGGTCTTCGTGCAAAAAGTCCAGCCTCCCTCAGTCTGTTGCGTACCGTTTGATCTGATATTATGCGTACCCCAGGGATCTGTGTGGTTGTAGACGTGGCTGTGGTAGTGCGGTCTCGGAGGTGTCGCAGCTGGATGTATCGATCTTGTGCTTGGGTTGTCACCCTTGGTCTTCCTGACCTTGGTCTGTCGTCATCTCTGTTGGTGCTGTTGTATCTGGTCCACAGTGCTGAGATTGTCTGTCTGGATACGCCAAAGTGCCTGGCCACTTCTTGCTGAGTTGCTCCAGCTTGCAATCTCCCAATGGCGTTGTTCCGTTGAGCTGCATTCAGTCTTGGCATTCTGTCACCGCCTCTACTGCCGTTATAAGGACTGTATGAACAGCCGTTGATGTGGATTTCTATACCCATTCAGCAGGGGGGCCTGCATGCCTAAATGCAGGATCCTGTGCTGCACGTTTTTTACAGGCGGTTGCGTTTGGATGAAGCTGTAAAATTGATCCCCAAATGCTACGTTTATGTGCTTTGCATGTGTTTTCGCGAATTATAGACACACCATCTTTCTGTTTGACTTATTTGGTTCTCATTTAATGTAATTATTTTAGATATCTGGCAAAAAGTGGTTTTACATCTATGTCAAGTTTCTTTTTTTTTTGAAGAGTATATATTCAACAATATAATTTAGTGCTAACTATGAAAACATACCGTGAGTTCTCGAGGAAGAGCCAGTGTCTTTATTCTATGTGTTTTCTATGTGATTTCTATTGTGATTGTCTTTTGATGCGATGTGATGCGCTCCTTTAGGCGATAAATA